AAGGAAAACGCAAGAACGCGACAGGCGAAAAGGGCGGCCGAGGGCCGGGTATTCGTTTCGGTAACGGGTATTTTCGGCAGGTTTCGGCAGGCGACGTATTATGACAAAAAAAAAAAACAAAACAAAACAAAACGAAACAAACGCCGTCGCCCCGAGCGAAATTGTTTTTTTTTTTTTCCGTGTGTGTACCGCCGGTAACGGCAAATCGGTAGCGTTTTCGCCGGCACACGAATGCGACGGCGGTGCGCGACGTCCAGCGCGCCGAAAAAATCGTCGCCGCCGGCATCCGCAACGGGCACAACGGATGTGTTTCAACGTGAAACGACCGGCACACGCGAGTCCTTCGCGCTCGGTATTCCGCCCGTAATCTCGACGGATGTGTTTATGTTTTGTTGTTAACACACGAACGACGTGCGGTTTCGTTGAATCGAAATTGATTTTTGCACTCGGCGAGTGTAACGACACAATAAAGCGGTTTTGTTATAGTGTCGGGAAGCGAAAAAAAAAAAAAACCGCGTTTTCGTTGAAATAATATCTGCTATAAATCGTTATTTTTATTATAATTATTTATCGAATCGAATCAATTTGATTATATTTATTTTTTTTCCTTATGTTTCAAATAGATTTTCTAGCCATCCGAAAAGATTTTTTCTCTCTCTCTCTCTCTCTCTCTAATTCTAATACAACCGTAAAATTAAGAAAACAAAAAAATTATACGAATAGTATAGTGAACTTATTAAAAATGACGGCTCTAAAATTAATGCCCGGAGATGAAGAGTTTTTGAGCTATAGCGATTTGAAATCTGAGATACTGAGAGTGTGACGCACCGACTTTTTTTTTCAAATGTTCAAATGCGCTAAATCACATTTGTTTCAAAAAATATATATATACAAAATATCCGTTTAAGTTATAGAAATCCACAGACGCAAACAAACAAAACAAATTGATACAAAAAACTTTTCTTAGGATAATGAAAGCCACTGTTATACAGGTAATTTAATGCATATCTGTAGAAAACCAATCTGTAACTATTGCTAACGGAAAAACGATTCTGAGCGAGTTTAGTTAATTGTGGTACTTTGTGAACAATATATATATACGTCTTACTATGTTAAAATAATAAAACAAGAATTATATATTTTGTTTAATGTACCGATTTTTCCGTTTTTCTTTCCTCGGGGTTTTTTTTTCGGTTTTTCATATTTAATGAGAAAACTCACGATAAAAAAAGAAAAGTTGCCCACAGAAAAAAAAAATAAAGTAAATAAATATACAGATAAAAAATGTATATATATAAAAAAAAAAATAAATAATTGAATCAATGCGTAGCCTGGGGTATTATGATAAGTATGTTTATACGACCGGTTTCGAATTAAAAATTCATCATCAGATATATCACAGTGAAAATGTAAAACGCGCGAAAAAAATAATCAACAATCATTGTAAAACCATAAGTCTCGTCGCTTCACTCAGGATTTAAAAGTACGATTTATAAAATAAAATAATATAATTATCGTCCGTGATATTTTTTATTATAAATGGTTTGTATTTGCCGAAAAAAAAAAAAAAAAAATCTGTAGGTACGAGAGGTTATATTATTACAATAATACGGGACGGCGGCGGCGAATGCGACGGCAATAAATTCGCTTTGTCAATATACAAGCGGCCCCGTCGCTCTTGAATATTATCGAATTAAAAACGCGGCGCACAAAGACAAAGAAATGCGACGAGTAGGGAGAAGTATATAAAAAAAAAAAAAAATGGTTTTTTTTTTTTTATATTCCGAATATATTCTTTTTTTCCTCGCGCGCGAAAAAAACAAAACAACGAGAATATCGCAATTATTCGCAGTCCGCAGACGGCGGCGGCGGCTGCTGCTGCGGCGAACACCAGCTATTATTTAAATTTGTTGGCAAACACCGAGACACCTACCTATATACGTATATACATAATTATTATATATAGTAAAAAAAAAAAAAAAAAAAAAAATGTAAAATATTTTAGATCGATTCGGAAACGGAATAAACGAACAAAAATGTAAATATACCGCAGCCCCGTCCAGCTATAATGCCGCCTGTAATATTTTAATACAATAACGACGGCGCTCGCGTACAACAGTTTCGCAGCGAAAAACCGTTTTCCGGTGTTTCGCCACTTTTCTCCGTCGGTCCGAAATGAACGCCGCGCGCGGCCGTCTTCCGGCGAAACCGGTCGAGACGGGCAAAGGCGCCGCTGAAACAAACGGCGCCCGACCACACGCCCAACAATAATAATGACGCGCGGTAAATCACGAATGTCCGTCCGTGGCTCGGTACGAGGACGGCCGATGGTCGCGTTTCGCGGCGGTTGGGAAACGTGGCGTTGTTCGGCGTATTTCCCGCATAGGGCAACTGCGCGAACGTTTGGACGTGGTTTTTACAGTTTTTAACAAAGATTTGAACGATTTTCGTTTGGAAAACTAAAAAGTGTACAGTTTTTCTTCGCACCCCCCCCCCACCCCCACTCGACCACACCAACCAAGGCTGGGTTTTCCGAAAAACAGACATTCGGGGCCGACCGGACGGACATTATATGCGCTGCAGCAATGTTGTTGGGAAAAAAAAACGGACGCGTATTATTTTCGTACGGGCGCGTTTACTCCGTTACGCGCGGCGGCGCACTCGACGCGGAGTCGTCCCTCGGCAACATCGATACTGTTAATGTAACCGCGCGAGACAACGACCGCCGATGAATTGGGGTTTCGTAGCGAAAGCCGATTGAACGTCGACGAAAATAATAAAAAAAAAAACAGGGAAAAAGTTTCGTACGACCGCGACGATCGGTTATTGGAGAGGGACAAAGTCGTCGTCGTCGTCTCCGGTGTCTCGGCGGTTTGATTGAACCCGCGGCGGCTGCCGGAGGAGGTACGCGGACGAAACGGAATGCTCGCGCGTAAACGATAACGTAATTATTTCACGGCCGTAATCGCTTTGTAAATCGTTTCGAATACCGTTTTCCGACTTGTAATTACTTCTCCCCCACCCCCTCCGTTTCACCCCATTCACCTTTCCGAAGCGGGGAGCGCGAAAATTCGGCGGCGCCGGAGCAGTGTGAAAACACACGGACAAACCGAGGCCGTACTGTTTTATTATTCGGCTCTTCTTCTCGTTTTAATCAGCGCGATACGCAATACTGCTACGCGGCCCGCGGCGCTGTTTTTTTTTTTTTATAGTCGCGCACTTCTACAAACGCCGCCCGCTCGCCAGCCGCCGACGAATTCGGACGGGCGGTCGTCCCGACCTGTCGCCCGTATAGTACACTCGACACCGCGATGAAACAACGTGCCGCGAACAGTAAAAGTCGTCGTTCATATTTTCGTTCGCCGTCCGTCCGTAACGTCGTTCCCTCGGATCGCGGCGAGTCAGAATCCGCGAACGGGTTTGTGAAACCGGGGGACGACGGCCGAAAACCCCGCGCGCACCAACCGCGCCGTCGCCAATCGCGTGGCACGCGGGGGTGTTCGCGCAGAAAACGGGACCCGGAAACGGCCGCGGGGGAACGGAAAAACTCCCGCGTGACACGTTCCCGCGGAAGAAGAAAGTCGGCGTTTCATTAATCCGCGTGGTCAACGAACGGGACACGTCGCAGTCACGCGCCGCCGTTTGTACGGCGGCTCTTGTTCGTCGTTCGGGGCTGCTATCTCTTTTAGAAGGGCGACGAATAATCGTTGGTCAGCGGAAGGTTGAGGGGCATGTATGAGCAAATCGAAGGATTCGACAGGCCCGATGTTTCTTGCACACAATAATTATACAACAAAATAAAAGAACCGGACGATCGTCTGGCGGAACGCCAAATAACGAAGTTAAAGGAATGGAGGGGGGGGGAAATTAATAAATATATGCGATTCGCACCGCTACGGGTAGCCGAAAAATTATTTTTTATCAACACTGTTTCAGAATTTCATAGTTTCGTTCGTTATCCGCACGTATTCGACTGTCAGGTGCCAATTCGATTATACCACCCACAGCGGTATAATAGAAAATGTTAACAGGCTACTGTTTTTAAAAATCCAAAAACCATTGTTTATAAAACACTATTATCTACATTATTTGATTGATGTTATCAAACCTTCGTATTGTTTTTAAATTATTTCATTTTCTCACTTAAAACGATAAAATATATACGGTTTATTTTATTTAGTCGGGTATATATTATAATTTCTTCGCAGACCCTACAATTTTTTTGTATTCATTTCGTATATAAAATTACGCTACGTAATAAATATATATCATATTATATTCTGCGACAACGGCAGTAGACGCGAACCCGATAGTCGCGAACCGTGAATTCGAAACGCTGCGGGTAATAATAATAATAATAATATAATAGTATCGTTGCCGCCGAGGGCCCGCAGACGCAATAGCAAACGAGCGATTTTCATGGAAAAAAATGAAAAAATATTCAATTGTTTTAACGTCTCTGCGTGGTGCGGTAAAAAAAAACAAAAAAAAAAAACGTATTACGTCAAAACGGCGTAATGAAACTCGGCGGCTAACTACACAATAACAATCTAACACAACCGACCGTAGACAAATATCGTCAAACGCACCAGATGTCATCCACACTCTGTGACGTAAAATATGTCCGTGTGGCCGTGCTGTTGGCCATTGGGTATTCAAATACAAGGGCCAATATCGTTTCTCGCGATCGCCGTGCGAACAAACGGAAGCGTTCGCGGCCGCGGAATTTCGCGATTTCGAAAACCGGAATACGACGGGCTAAAAAACAACAAAAAAAAAAAAACACGAGACCCGCGCGTCTGCGTGTGACACAGCAGGCACGGCGATCGTCTCGCGAACGATTGTCGTTGTCGTCGTAACGGGCCGGAGTCCCGGTCGCCGTCGTCCGAGTCTGAAAGACGACGGGATCGCGCGTCGTTACCGGCGCGGGCCAAAGAAAATGCGAAAGAAAAAAATAAAAAAAATAAATATATAATAATAATAATAATAAAAACGCGTGTCCCCTGACAACTGTACGTAATTTATTCGACTGAAATACTCGCGTCAAAAAACGTGTCCCCGAAACTATACGGCTGTATTATACATATATATTTATATATGTATACATACTTGGCTCGCTATACAGAACACATATTTGTTGTTTTGGTTTTTTTTTTTTCTTTCTTTCTTTTTTTCTACAATTGATTATTATAATGTGTTATTTGTACACTCTGCACGCTACTGCGCTGTTGCAGTGACAGCTCGGCCGAAAAACTCCGACGGCGGCGTTGTCTCTCTGCCTTCCAGAAATTTTTTTTTTTTTTTTATAAAAACCCGAACCTCCCTGGCACGTGATAACGCACATTGTTATTATTATTCTATTTGTACACGTCGTCGTCGTCGCGCCGCGGGTAACCGTGTAAATTGTAAACGCGTAAATTAGTCGGACGCCGACAGCGGGTGTACGCCCTATTACTATAGTATTTTTTTTTTTTTTTTTTTTTTTTTAACCCCCGACAGTTACTCGTCACGTTCAGTTGTTGCGGAGAAAAACGAAATTAATTTCCCGTATTCTACGATAAACGCGTATTGGAAAAACTGGCAAAATCTATTATAGAATCCGATCGGTTCGCCGTAATTATAGAGTTCGGGAAATACACTTGAACACCCCAAAAAAGCGATAAAAAAAAAAAAACCGTCGACAATGGCTCGATAATCCATTCGAAACAAAATACAATTAAATAAATAATTGCGCATTTAACGGTTAGAGACGCGGTACGGAGGTTGGGTAAATTTTAAACCCCCACGGGCCCTCCTGTTATATTCGTTTTTTAAGAGCTCTTTTGACATTTCTAAGCTGTTTTCTGTGGATTTTTAAAAAAGTATTAAACACTGCCGCCCCGGCCGTAACTCTGAAACGTATTATGTTATTTTTATTCCGAGTCGAGTATAACAAATAAGTATAAACGCGCGTGCTCGGTGAACATATCATATCCTATAAATACGCCTACTACTTAAAGAAACCGAGAAGATTCCGTTGTTATCGGCATATATATATGCAAGTGGAACGGAACCCGGCAAACGTTTTGTCAGAATAAAAAAAGAAATATATCCGGCCGGGTTTAATTAAAATACAGAAAGCCGCGGTTCGCGAAACACGGACGCGTCGGTACCGCGGTGGCCCGAGTGGGAAAAATTTCGACGGAGGAAACAATACATCATACAGATACAATGCATGCGTTAAAGCCGTTCGAATATTTGTTCACGCTCCTCGTCACAGCTGCGAACAACTAAGGTCCGCGCACTATTGCGGTATAGCACGGTTACCTTATAAAAACGTGTAAACGAAAACGAACACTTGACGTCGCCGAAATTTCCATCGGAACTTATTCCGCGCATATGCCGGTTCGGTAAAAAAAAAAAAAAAACGTAAAACGGAGTCCGGTTTTTATACCGCACAATCGAATAGCTGAACGGGATTTTCGTACGGGCGGGGGGATGGTGGGAGGGTGGGCGAACGTAATGTACGCGATACACGGCGGGTCGATGACTTTTTATCGCAGCGACAATGATATTATGATGCTGATGACGGTAAGGTACAATATCGCCGTTGAAAACAATTGTAGGTATACTGTCGTCTACACGCGTTACGCGAAAACTACAATAATAACAGTAGCGCCGGGCACGAGAGTAGGCGTGAGGGGAGGGGCGAATGGTAAACGTGCGCGAAAATACGTTGTAAAAATGAACACACCGCGTACGGCGATGTGACGAGATTCGGGGCGGCTCGGCGTCGAAAACGTTTTTTAGATAATTAAAAAAAAAAAAAAAAAAAAACAAATAATAACACGTCGTCGGGCGCGCGTGTATTTATGCAGCGGCAAACGAAACGCGTGTGTATTATTTTCACGGGGTGGCGGTGGGCGTGTTAAGGTCCGACGGCGGGGGAGGGGAGGAAGAGAGGGGGCGATTATAAAAACATTAAAGGAGTGAAACCGTACACGATGACGCGGCGCGCGGGTTTCTATAAACGGAAGCGTCGCGTTTCCCGCGGCGGGGGGGGGAGAAAAAAAAACAAACAAACAGATTACGCGCGCCATTATTGACGACGACGCGATTTTAATATATATTTTATCGCGAACCCGCCCCTCGGAGCTCTCCCGCCGACCCCCCCACAACCACAATGTCAATATCACCGTGCGCATACGCTGCCCCTCCGGAGCTCGCGTCAGCATCAGTTTATTGACATTATTTACGCTCGAGCGTACACAGCGGATGGCGGGGGGGCCGGATGGGAGGGTGAGTCTCTGACTCGCATCGCCGTTTTCGCGATCGGCCGACGTAAAATAATACGTCCGCGGCGGTTTATTGTTATTGGAGTTATTATTATTTTTTATACGCATTGTACTTCATTAGCACAGGTCNGTGCGTTAAGAATAAGCCGCAGTGGCGTGAAAACAAAAACCGGCAAAATAATTCGGTATGTAATGATATAAACAATATGGTAAGTATCATAATATAATATTTTAAAATATTAATAATGTCAACACTAAATTTTATTATAATGGACACAACTTCAATTTAGTAGTTTATAAATCAATTTAGATTAATACAAATAGTATGTATTATAGTTAAATATCTTATATAATAATAAAACATGATAATGAGAATCGGACAATACCATTCCACTATTTTCCCCTTTTCATCTCAAAAGAGACTTCTCCTTTCATTTCGACACTATTCTATCGCACTGGAAGTCGTCATCGGTTTACCGCCCGTCTTCATCAAGCGAAAATCTCGGGAGGTCGAACGATCGTTTTATATTTGAAGAACTAACATTATCATCTACTCCTACGAATCACCGTACATTTGGCTGTAAAACAACTTAANAAAGAGACTTCTCCTTTCATTTTGACACTATTCTATCGCACTGGAAGTCGTCATCGGTTTACCGCCCGTCTTCATCAAGCGAAAATCTCGGGAGGTCGAACGATCGTTTTATATTTGAAGAACTAACATTATCATCTACNTTCTACGAGTACTGGCAAAACTGTAGAATCACATAAAGGTAGTTTGACTGAAACAAATATGCGTTTAGATATTAACGGTCGGCGATTTCAGTTTAAAAAGAGATCAAATAAAGAAAGCCAAGCTAAACTAGCCTTTATTAATGATATAATATATGGTAAGAATTTCCCTACACAGTTTTATTGAGATAATAAAACTGTCAAATGATGGGGGGCAAAAGAAGATCTACCAATTGCTAAATCGCTTCATAAAGAATTACATTATTTAGACGATGAAAAATATACAAATGAAGCAAATGAACTTAACAATAGTTCATTCAAGGCAACCAAATTATCTGATTTGTCACCTTTTATGCGTGATCGAGATTACCCGATTCATATATGTAAGGAAGTCATGGATAACACACTGCCGTCCAACGTAAAGCGGATTTAGACGATGAAAAATATACAAATGAAGCAAATGAACTTAACAATAGTTCATTCAAGGCAACCACATTATCCGATTTGTCACCATTTATGCGTGATCGAGATTACCCGATTCATATATGTAAGGAACTCATGGATAACACACTGCCGTCCAACGTAAAGCGGATACCTAATAATGGATGTCAATAGAAAATTCCAATGAACAAAGCCAATTATTTGATACGATTAGAACCCAACCAAATTGCACAGTTAACTATTCAAAAAGAAAATCCTATTTATGTACAATCATATTCAGTTTCAGATAAACTTCCTTTATCTGATTCTACGGTTTCGCCAGTTCTCATTGAACAGGATTGATCGTTATTGGGTTTTTCTTCCTCAATAGTTATATGTACAATTAGGNCCAAATTGCACAGTTAACTATTCAAAAAGAAAATCCTATTAATGTACAATCATGTTTTACGAGTACTGGCGAAACTCTAGAATCAGATAAAGGTAGTTCATCTGAAACAAATAAGCGTTTAGATAATAACGGTCGGCGATTTGAATTTAAAAAAAAAAGATGAAGAGATTAAAAAATTAAATTGCATTCCTTTATTCATAAAAATTGCATTGTAAACAATTTGTTTAAATTATTTTAGTAAACCCGTTCCCGTGAGTTACAAATAATTAATTGTATTTTCACCGGAACACAAGAGTAACCCATTAAATATTAAAAATCAGCATTTTGTACATCTGTAAACAATTTAAACAAATTGTAAACAATGCAAATTTTATGAATAAAGTCCCGGGTACCAAACCCGATCAAAAGCTTGGGCAACATCTAATGAAACAGCAGAGCAATATTTTTTCATTTCCAGTGAATACGGTATTGAGTCAACTAATCGGTTAATTTGATGGATTGTTGAATGTCTATTCCTGAATCCAAATTGTGAATTTAAGATGATTTGATAGATATTAATTAGTCGGGATATACGTTTTAAAATTAATTTTTCAGATAGTTTGGCAAATAAAGAAAGAAAACTTATTGGACGATACGAAGTTGGTATGTCCGGGGGTTTATTTGGTTTAGGAATCAAGACAATAACTGAAGTTTTCCACTGAACCGGAAAGTACGAGAGCCTTAGTATGGAATTTAAAATATGGCTGAGGTGGATAACGGCTTTTTTTGATAGTTGGCGAGCAACTCAGCTGTAATTAAGTCCAATCCAGGGGATTTTTTGAGGGGAAATGATTTGATGTAGTGGTAGACTTCAGATGGTGAGAAAAGTTTGGGCGGTAGGTAGAGTGGTAGTGGGGAGTCTAATGTTTTTAAGACATTTTCAGTAAATAATTGGTGGCTGATATCCTGGTGGGGTTGGAAAACATGTTCAAAATGTGAGCGGAAGACATCTGCTTTCTCCCCATCCGATTTGCACCAGGTACCATCCGACTTTTTTTAAGGGGGAGCATTTAGGTTTTTGTTTTAAACACTGACGAGTTGCATTCCAGAGGGAACCGTATTTTGCACTGATAGAGGAAATCCAAGAGTTGAAGGATTCGGTTTTTAAATGGTTCAGATTACGTTTAAGGGACGAGGATAGGTTGTTGTAGATATTTTTATCAGATGGTAGTCTTGAGCGTTGCCAAAGTGCTCTGGCACGACGTTTTTAGGCAATTAGCTTCCTGGTGAAGGTGGTAACTGAGAAAGGATTTGAGTGTTTCTTGGGGTTTTTTTTTATGGAAGAATTCCAGAAACATTTGCTACTTGATGTACAGTAAAGCCTAAATCTTCAATGGCTATGCCGACTTCAGTAGTTGGTGTTGATGGGTGTAGGTTTCTGATGACTATGCGAAAAGCTTTATCTTCTTGTGTACGGAAGGTGTGGAATTGGGCTTTCTCCTCTCTAAAGAAATGAATAGTTTTCCTGTAGGAATCTGGATTGATTGTTTGCACTTTTAGTGCATTTGTAGAAGACTTGAATAAGAAGTTTTCTGGGCCGATTAAAAAGATCAATTGTTGCCTAAAGCTAACAAAATCTAATACTTCACGGATAAATATAGGAGGAGGTAATTTAATTTCGTTGTTCACTTCGGGGGTTTGGAAGTTAATTCCGAAGTTAGATTGTGTATGTAAGGATGTTTTACCTGTGGCGTCATCGTCAATAGTAAGTGAAGAATATCGGTTGGCTGTTACGAACATTGGCTTATATTTCTTGGGATCTGCTGGGGTTCCAGAATACAGGATACGTTTTGTTGTTTTGGGTTGAATGAATTCAGATTCCTCCATTTCAGTTGATGAGTTGAACACATCACTTGACGCGCTCTATATACGTGGGCTGTTTGTTTTGTTTTGTTTGAGATTAGATGCATTCGTAGCTTTGTCTGGTTTTATTTTTATTGAGCTCGACGTTATCGGCGGAGGCATTATTACGTAAGATACCAAACGTCGATAAGCGACCGCCGCCTTCTCGGGGTGTTCGACGCGTGATTACTTGATTGATTAATTTAGTTTTTTTCCAATTTGCGGTAAGTCAGGTTTTATTAATATTTGTTTGCGTGTAACAGTGCGGTCGTTGTTTTTAGGACACATTCAACGAAGTAAAAAAAATTTATTTTTAATAGAAGTGACGGTATCGTATTAGTGTAACGAGATATAGANAGACTTCTCCTTTCATTTCGACACTATTCTATCGCACTGGAAGTCGTCATCGGTTTACCGCCCGTCTTCATCAAGCGAAAATCTCGGGAGGTCGAACGATCGTTTTATATTTGAAGAACTAACATTATCATCTACTCCTACGAATCACCGTACATTTGGCTGTAAAACAATTTCAATGGATCCAAAGTCCAAAATGCCAATGGATCCAATTTTCAACAGGCCATTTGAATATGGTTGGAAAAGAGAGGTGGTATATAGGACCAATGGAAATGCAATTGATATATATTACCGTACACCAGATAAAAAGAAACTAAGATCGAAACCGGAAGTACGTGAATATTTAAAGCAAAGAACGCGATTGAAAATAGAGAATTTCACGTTTAAAAGAAAAGCCCTAGGTTTAGACAATTCCAAGGAAATATGCAGAAACGCTTATTCAACTGAAAGAGCTGAAAATAATCGTGGTGGAAACGGTATAAATAATGAAAATTATTTTTAGAAAACCGAATTGTACAGTTAACTATTGAAGAGAAAAGCCCAATAATGACCGATCCTCTTCTACGAGTACTGGCAAAACTGTAGAATCAGATAAAGGTAGATTGACTGAAACAAATATGCGTTTAGATATTAACGGTCGGCGATTTCAGTTTAAAAAGAGATCAAATAAAGAAAGCCAAGCTAAACTAGCCTTTATTAATGATATAATATATGGTAAGAATTTCCCTACACAGTTTTATTGAGATAATAAAACTGTCAAATGATGGGGCAAAAGAATTTTGCCCCATCAAGAAATCTTTTTTCCAGCCAAAATCAAATGGCCTATTGAACTTGGGATCCATTGGCTTTTTGGACCTGGGATCCATTAAACTTGTTTTACAGCCAAAACCGCAGTGATTAGTAGGCGTAGTTGATAAGATTAATTCTTCAAATACAAAACGATAATTCGACTTCCTGAGATTTTGGCTTGATGAAGACAGGCGGTAAACCGATGACGACTTGCAGTGCGATAGAATAATGTCGAAACGAAAGGAGAAGTCTCTCATGAGAAGGAAAGGGGAAAACAGTGGAGTGGTATTGTCCGGTTTTCATTATCATGTTTTATTATTATATAAGATATTTAACTATAATACTTACGATTTGTATTAATCTAAATTGATTTATAAACTAATAAATTGAAGTGGAGTCCACCATAATAAAATGTAGTGTAGATATTATTAATATTTTACAATATTATGTTGAGATGTATACCGTTTTGTATATATCATTACACACCGAAATCTCTCGCCGGTTTTTTTTTTTTCACGACACCACGGATCCTTCCCAACGCACTTCTCGGCGAGCCCGCGCATGATTTTCATCAGGACCTGCGTCCTGTGCTAATGAAGTTCAATGCGATGTAATGCGCGCGTGATCACGCGCGCAGTACGCACCGCGTCTTTCGGGTAAAATAATAATAGGACAATAACAATGAACGGCCGCGGGTGTATTATTTTACCACCGTTTTTACCTATTCGTTTCTCCTCTTGGTAAAACTCTTCCATGTATAGGATTCTCCTTTCAGATATACTATTGTCATATTAGCGGAAAGATTGATTTTCCTACTCTCCTATTTCTCATCAACTTTAATGTCCCATCTCGATCCACTCGCTCTCATTCCACATTCCACTCGCGTCTACAAATTTCCTCGAGAATTCCCCTATCAAGCGTTTAATTCGCACCGCANAACTCTTCCATGTATAGAATTCTCCTTTCAGATATTCTATTGTCATATTAGCGGAAAGATTGATTTCCCTACTATCCTATTTCTCATCAACTTTAATGTCCCATCTCGATCCACTCTCTCACATTCCACATTCCACTCGAGTCTACAAATTTCCTCGAGAATTGCTCTATCAAGCGTTTAATGCGCACCGCAAATAACCACCTCTTCTTTGTTTGTAAACTAAAACTATACAAAATTATGATATATATGTTTTCTTAATTCATTTTTCCTTTATTATATTGTTTTTGGTTATTTTTCTTTTTTTATTTGTTTGTTCAACTTGTCACCTAATTATAAGTNCGAGTCTACAAATTTCCTCGAGAATTGCTCTATCAAGCGTTTAATGCGCACCGCAAATAACCACCTCTTCTTTGTTTGAAAACTAAAACTATACAAAATTATGATATATATGTTTTCTTAATTCATTTTTCCTTTATTATATTGTTTTTGGTTATTTTTCTTTTTTTATTTGTTTGTTCATCTGGTCACCTGATTATAAGTTAAATCAATATTCATCATTTGTAATTGGACCTAGGTGTATGTAATATATAATAAATAAATTATTTTTATCAAACACCGTTGTATATTATCTATCGTTGTGGAATTTCGGATTTTCCATTATATACGAGTACAATTTAAAAAAAAAAAAAAAAAAAAAAAAAAAAAAACCTTTTCCACGGCGAAATTAAATTTTTCGGGTAAATATACTGCAGGACTACTGTCGTAGTATTACGGCGGATCCAAATGCACTATGCATACATATTCGAGTTATTTACAACGCAGCAATACAATGACAGCGAAAACTGCTAAATACTGCGGCGCGATTACGTTTTTTACAGCGTCCCGGGGTGTCGCTCGGGAAAAAAACAAACAAACAGATTACGCGCGCCATTATTGACGACGACGCGATTTTAATATACATTTTATCGCGAACCCGCCCCTCGGAGCTCTCCCGCCGACCTCCCACCACAACCACAATGTCAATATCACCGTGCGCATACGCTGCCCCTCCGGAGCTCGCGTCAGCGTCAGTTTATTGACATTATTTACGCTCGAGGGTACACAGCGGATGGCGGGGGGGGCCCGGATGGGAGGGTGAGTCTCTGCCTCGNTTTTCGCGATCGGCCGACGTAAAATAATACGTCCGCGGCGGTTTATTGTTATTGGAGTTATTATTATTTTTTATACGCATTGTACTTCATTAGCACAGGTCGCAAATCCTGACGAAAAGCATGCGCAGGATCATCGAGAAGTGCGTTAAGAATAACCCGCAGTGGCGTGAAAAAAAAAACCGGCAAAATAATTCGGTATGTAATGATATAAACAATATGGTAAATATCATAATATAATATTATAAATTATTAATAATATCAACACTAAATTTTATTTTAATGGACACAACTTCAATTTATTAGTTTATAAATCAATTTAGATTAATACNAGCCGCAGTGGCGTGAAAACAAAAACCGGCAAAATAATTCGGTATGTAATGATATAAACAATATGGTAAGTATCATAATATAATATTATAAAATATTAATAATGTCAACACTAAATTTTAGTATAATGGACACAACTTCAATTTATTAGTTTATAAATCAATTTGGATTAATACAAATAGTATGTATTATAGTAGTTAAATATCTTATATAATAATAAAACATGATAATGAGAACCGGACAACACCACTCCACTATTTTCCCCTTTTCTTCTCAAAAGAGACTTCTCCTTTCATTTCGACGTTATTCTATCGCACTGGAAGTCGTCATCGGTTTACCGCCTGTCTTCATCAAGCGAAAATCTCGGGAGGTCGAACGATCGTTTTATATTTGAAGAACTAACCTTATCATCTACGCCTACGAATCACAGTGGTTTTGGCTCTAAAACAAGTTTAATGGATCCCAAGTCCAAAATGCCAATGGATCCAAAATTCGATAGGCCATTTGATTTTGGTTGGAAAAGAGAGGTGGTATATAGGACCAATGGAAATGCAATTGATATATACTACCGTACACCAGATAATAAGAAGCTACGATCGAAACCGGAAGTACGTGAATATTTAAAGCAAAGAACCCGATTGAAAATAGATAATTTCACGTTTACAAGAAAAGCCCTAGGTTTAGACAATTCCAAGGAAATATGCAGAAACGCTTATTCAACTGAAAGAGCTGAAAATAATCGCGGTGGAAACGGTATAAATAATGTAGAAAACCAAATTGTACAGTTAACTATTGAGGAGAAAAACTCAATAATGATCAATCCTGTTCTACGAGTACTGGCAAAACTGNCACCAGATAAAAAGAAACTAAGATCGAAACCGGAAGTACGTGAATATTTAAAGCAAAGAACGCGATTGAAAATAGAGAATTTCACGTTTAAAAGAAAAGCCCTAGGTTTAGACAATTCCAAGGAAATATGCAGAAACGCTTATTCAACTGAAAGAGCTGAAAATAATCGTGGTGGAAACGGTATAAATAATGAAAATTATTTTTAGAAAACCGAATTGTACAGTTAACTATTGAAGAGAAAAGCCCAATAATGACCGATCCTCTTCTACGAGTACTGGCAAAACTGTAGAATCACATAAAGGTAGTTTGACTGAAACAAATATGCGTTTAGATATTAACGGTCGGCGATTTCAGTTTAAAAAGAGATCAAATAAAGAAAGCCAAGCTAAACTAGCCTTTATTAATGATATAATATATGGTNACCAAATTGTACAGTTAACTATTGAGGAGAAAAACTCAATAATGATCAATCCTGTTCTACGAGTACTGGCAAAACTGTAGAATCAGATAAAGGTAGTTTATCTGAAACAAATATGCGTTTAGATATTAACGGTCGTCGATTTCAATTTAAAAAGAGATCAAATGAAGAAAACCAAGCTAAACTAGCCTTTATTAATGATATAATATATGGTAAGAATTTCACTACACAGTTTTATTAAGATAATAAAACTGTCAAATGATGGGGCAAAAGAATTTTGCCCCATCAAGAAATCTTTTTTCCAGCCAAAATCAAATGGCCTATTGAACTTTGGATCCATTAGGTTTTTGGACTTGAGATCCATTAAAATTGTTTTACAGACAAAACCACGGTGATTCTTAGGCGTAGACGATAAGATTAATTCTTCAAATACAAAACGATAGTTCGACATCCTGACATTCTCGCTTGATGAAGAAAGGCGGTAAACCGATGACGACTTCCAGTACGTTAGTATAATGTCGNAAACACCTAATTGAAATGAAAGCAAATATGAAATATTACCAATGTCTTTATTTTAAATGAACAACAGTCATAAATAAAATATTTTCCTAGATACCATGAAAATTCAAAATTAACCTAATTAGGAATAATAAAAAAATTTAAGTTGATTTCAAGTTGGGCAAATAAAACAAATGAACTAAGTTAATTAAAATAGCAAACTATTAAATTAGGTTAAAAAGTTGAAAAAACCTTTCAACAATTTTCTATGAAATATGAAACCGACTTTATTTTAAAATTAAATCTGAAGGAAAAAAAAAATCACCTAGACCATATTACAATAATACAAGTCTAATAATTTCATTATAACATTGCTGTTGTCCTATGTTGCCTTTAAAAGAAATTAACTAATTGTAATTACGGTTGAGTTATATTTTATATGTATATGAAAAAAAAATTCAACTTCAAATACAAATGAATATTTTTCTAAGTTAGGATCAATGAAAAAATAAAAATATATAATTTTGATTCGGTTTGGTTCAAAAATATTTATTTTAAATTCAGTTCAATGTAAAAACCAGGTTTTGACCAATTACTACTCCTTTCTTTTAGATTTGTATTATATATTAATGGATGTTCAATTTCGAACACGTTATAAACCATAATAGGAGTTTGTTTTTGTACAGGATCCTAAGATTGACAATTTTGAGATTTATATACTTTCAATATTTTCAAATGTATTAGTAGAATTGATTGAGGAGTGTTTTTGAAACCTACACTTTATGGTAAGCAGTAATGTCATTAGATGTAGCTGAAGGTTGATTGGACGAAACTTTTCCGGTCAAAGTCATTGTGGACACTGGAGTTGAATTTTGTTGTTGTTGTTGAGGAGGTAACTTCAAACACAATAGTTGTTCCAGTAACTAAAACAGAAATAAATTGTGTAACTAATAAAAATGAATATATCTAATTCTATTAATGTTATCTGAGTAACATAAAAGTTAACAGACTGATCGAATAAAAATTTTACAAACAAATTCTCTAACAAGACAAAATTGAAATTTTAATAAATAAACACAGAGTGATAAATATATTCAAAACATATTTGCTCAAGAAATGCCTATATATTTTAAAAGTGAATTATAATATTTAAAATTGTTTCAATTAAATAAACCTTACACATGTAACCAAATGCTCCCAAGATGTTTACACATCCAATTGTCATCCAATTTTATTTACAATTTTCTGAAAAATATTATAAAGAACACCTAATTGATAATAACAAAATTGAAGAAATGAAATACTAGATAAATCATATGGGTAACTCAAACTAATATGTGACTTATTGTTATAGAAGTTTAAAGTATTTCGTTTCCATCAAATGATCAATCTTTTTATTTGTTAGATAGTTGACAGGACACTTCACAAATATTAATTGTAACAGGCCAATACTCAAAAATAGTGATATTGCTTGCCGATAATTTATGATTATTATTTAGAAACAGAATTTTATTTTTTTATACTAAACATTTAAGTTTGTATAATTTATTAATACACAATATTATACCATTTTTTTAATATGAATACCCAAACCACATAAAAAGACATTCGTTTGCCCTATTCATAAAATAACTACAAAACGAGTAGTCTACTGTGTATATTTTGTTTTAGTATATTTGAATTACCTTTAGTCCTATAAAATAATTTGTGGGACAATCATATTCAATTTCAAATCATAAATTACACATATCAATCAAAAGTGGACTTTTTTCAGTTACTGAGGCTTTATATGACAAAAGCAGCACTTTAAAGTTGATGCTTAAGAAGATTTAATCGTTTAGCTTTATATCCAAAATCACCAAATCCTATAACTTTTTTAATAACAATTTAAAAATAGTGTTATTTATTTAAATTTCAATGGTATCACTTTTAATACTTAATATTAAATAAAAGCCTTCAGATTTAAAGAATAACAGTCAACAAGAGATTAGTCTGAATTGAGTTATACTAACATAAAGCTAGAACCTTGCAAATTGAACTAAAAATGCGATTCACAGGAGATTTCAACAGTTCTAAAATTATAGTCTCAGCCGATGGCGTCTCAGACCCAAAAATTTTAGAACTGGACTAATTTCTGGTCCTCCTGCCCAAATTTATCAAGAGGGCCTCTGGCTAAAAGGTTAGTGAATTTATCTCAGACCTTCCCGAGGTTAATTAAGTAACAAAGTACTCCGTGTGTAAACCCCTAAAGCAAGATTCTTGTTGACTGATATATTCTATTTTAGAAGCTTTAACAGCAAAACAGGAGTGACCTCCAGCACTTTCATCATAAGGCACATATCAAAATAATAATTGTATATAAATAAAATATTGTATGATATAAATATGTGTATGAGTATTACTATTTTGTTATTTTTCAACATCATCCAACCAGTGAGTTCCACTAGCTTTGGAAATTAAGACAGTTTCCATAAGATTCCATTTTTGCTTTTATGTCTTCTTACCTAAAAATCAATAAACCTGTTATTAAGTGAAACTGAACAGAAAAAGCCATTTGTTACAATTAAACTATTTCCTATGTGGGGACTTGCAGTAACTTTTCGGGGCTAAAAATGAAGACTTCCAACAACTATTCATTGGTAAAAAAAATTATTTAATTTTCACGATTAAATTGTGGTAAAAATTATATGTATACAAATATTTTTTTTTTTTTTCATAATGAATAAAGTGAAATATATTATTTCAATAAAACAATCTCAGCCTTTACAGTAAAATGAACATTAACACCTGTCACTATAAGAACTAACATCACTCTTTTATATAAAACGTTTGGGTGGAATACAAAGCTTTTAGCAGACATGAATGATCTTACATTACCAGTATTAATTGTACATCTTCAGGGTGTCAATAGTCAAGAAGCAATTAATGGCCGCTCCTCCCTGGGATGATTTTCTTCACTATACACCCAACACTAACCTCACACCAACAGTGGGATAATGTATGTATCGCTACAGCAGCGCAATCAAAATTTTGATCTTCATCCTCTAAAAGTAAAAAAAAACATTATATATTAAAAACGACAATAAATTATATATTTGAAATTGAGCTTATTTAATATAAAAATATTTAATAAATTTTTATCTTTTTTTAATTGGTAAGTATTTTGTGAATAAAATTGTAAGACTCTACAAAAATATTTGAAAATTTAACAGGAGTTTCATTAAAAGTTGCACTTTAGGTTAAAAAAACTTTGAAAATCTGTCGTATTTTCTTTTATAAATTAATATTAATACTAAATTCATGGCCGCACATGTTCTTCCTATCAGATGATTTTTCTTTTAATTGTGTTTTTTTTTTTTTAATATTCGTTTAACTAATTTATTTTTAAAAATATTATATTTATATTATATACAATTAGTTGTTTTATTTAGGAGAACCTTAGACGTATCAATATATCACCACTCATTTGATATCAAAGAAAACAACGCTGTTATCAACCTGACTGTAGCGAATGATTATAATTAGGACAGATTGATAACATATAAGATAAGTTGATTAAAGAGTGAAATATTGTTAAGTTAAATTGTTAAATTAAACGTTACCTATTAAGAATAGACATTAAATATCATTTATTTTTTTACAGGTACGAGTTCTACCTATTTCTCAAAATTGACTATACTTTGAGAATTATCTTATCAACACTTTTATATAATAGTGGAACGATATTTAAAAGACAACCTAGGATAATGGGAACGAGTGCCGCCACTGTTAAATACAATTTAATGTGTATTTATAAGCAACGATAAACCATTGCTTACGAAAAAACGATTCTGAGTGACGTTCAGATGATAATGACGCTTTGTCAACACAATGTGTCATTTTATTAAAATAATTAAATAGGCTTTATATATTTTCTTTATTATTATATGCTAAATATTGTACTAATTTTCTACGTTTATAATAACCGAATAATTCATTGGAATGAATATGATGTAACATTACTTAAACCAAGACGCATATAATACCTATTATAAGCCCCTTGGCTTGAACTACCTACCAAATTATAAAAATAATATTAGTAGGTAATGATTATTATATTATTATAACCATTCCCTACTATTATTATCGCACAATTCCTTTTCAATGCAACATTAAAAAAAATTAGTCATTGAAGTTATTGTTCCCAAATATTGACATTAAATTTTGACTACCTAATGACTAATCTGTGATCGTTAATATGACAATAAATGGATATTATTTGTATTCCTAATTTTTAGTACCTATTGACTTGCATTTATATAGTATCAGTAATAACAAATGAAAATAAACATACAAATACAAACCCGATAAAGAAATATACCCACAATATTATGGNTATGTCCTGCCCATCAAACAAAATTAACTGACTACTATTTTTGTTTTTTATTAGTAGTTTAAGTATTATTTGTTATACATTCAATCATATAGCTACTTAAATTACAAAGTAATTGAGTGAGTACCTACCTAGGTACCTGTTTTAACTTATTACGTTTCATTTATGTAATGACACTAAATAAAAGGTCACTATATCATGGGAGTGCATCTTTTTTCAATTATACTTTTATAAATTTTTTTTTTTATTTTATTTTTATATTATTTATAAGTATCTAGTGAAATTAACCTAACAATTATTTTTATTTGTCATATGGTAATTAGGTGCCTAGGTATGTACATACCTACCTAATTAGTTTTATACATTTCAATACNATTGAGTGAGTACCTACCTAGGTACCTGTTTTAACTTTTTACGTTTCATTTATGTAATGACACCAAATAAAAGGTCACTATAGTATGGGAGTGCATCTTTTTTTCAATTATACTTTTATGAATTTTTTTTTTATTTTATTTTTATATTATTTATAGGTATCTAGTGAAATTAACCTAACAATTATTTTTATTTGTCATATGGTAATTAGGTGCCTAGGTATGTACATACCTACCTAATTAGTTTTATACTATTCAATAAAAAAGTTTGAAATTATTATTTAATATTTTGATTGCAAAAATCAATAATATAATCAATAATTACCTTTGATTATTCTCATCTCTAGTTGTGGAAATTTAAAATAGATCGCGCAACAAGGCAGGGAGAATCTCATATTTTATAATATTTAATTATTTATTAAGTATTCACAGGATATATATATATATATTGTACGATATTTTAACTTGAAGTTGAATTTTTTTTTTCATTTAGGTATAAAATTTAACTCAACTATAATTACAATTACTTTTTTTCTTTTGAAGTCAATAATGAAGTTAATAAATAATAATAATGAAGAATAATGAAGTTTTAGAAAAAAAATTTAACAAAATCAAAATGCTATACTGTTGATGAAGAATAATGAAGTTTTAGAAAAAAAATTTAACAAAATCAAAATGCTATACTGTTGCCTTAAAATAATGAAGTTTTAGAAAAAAAATTTAACAAAATCAAAATGCTATACTGTTGCCTTAACCATTTTATCTTCAATTGAGGTATAAAATATAATTTGTTAATAAACACTATAGATATATAGATATATTTCGAATGTTACGGAATTCACAGTACTAATTACAAACTACATAATAGAAATTCAATGTGTTATGTTCATAATGTAAAACAAATTTACATTATTTTTAACAATTTAACCAGTGGGGAAATGTTGGTACCTACTTATGGGTCTGTCTAAATTAAAAATACATTTTTCACTTTTTCGACAAATATATGTGCATATATGGAGTGCTAATTAATAATTGTATCTAATTATTATTGTAATTACTTGACAAAAACCGATGTTTTAAATGTTTAAAACTAATTAAATAGTATTTAAATAGTACCAGATACTAAAAAGTTTGGTATGAAATTTATTAATTCCACATTAGATATTCGAACTAAACTAAAATTAAGGGTTTTGGTTTTTCATATCCAGATTTGGAAAATAAGTTTGAAGAATTAAAGAAAGTAACAATAAAAAATTTTAAGAAACACTAGTGATGTTTTATGTGGCACAATAGGGTTCAAGTATACTGGCTAATCATTTAATAATAGAAATAAAATAAAAAAAAAAAAACTGGTAAAAATAAGAATGTTAAGATAAAAGTGTAGTACTTCCAACAACTATTCATTGGTAAAAAAAATTATTTGATTTTCACAATTATAAATTGTGGTAAAAATTATATGTAGACAATTTGTTTTTTTTTTTCATAATGAATAAAGTGAAATATATTATTTCAATAAAACAATCTCAGCNTTACAATAAAAAATTTTAACAAACACTAATGATGTTTTATGTGGCACAATAGGGTTCAAGTATACTGGCTAATCATTTAATAATAGAGATAAAATAAAAAAAAAAAAAAACTGGTAAAAATAAGAATGTTAAGATAAAAGTGTAGTGAGGTTAAGTTAGATATAATTAGGAAAGAATATATCAGTGGAAGCCTAGGAGTGGACTAGAATAGTTTCAACGAAGACATGTTTAGTTAACTAAGTTATGGATAGGTAGAGATGTAGAGAGAAAAATAAGATTAGGTATCCCCACTTGTATAAGATGAAATAAAATAAAATCAAAAATAAAGAAATTAATTCTTAAATAAGAATTATGTGTTATTAGACATAAAGAAATTTTTATAGGAAACACTGTGAAATATCTAGATAATACAAAATATACTATACTTATATGAATTTATTCATGCAACATTTTGATATTCTGATAAAATATAGGTTATGGGTAAATATAAATATAAATATAGGTATGAATATATCATAGAACCATTAGTGTTTCTACAGATCTGTAAACCATATTGGGTGTCATGTGTAATAATTATATCTAAAATAGTATTAATATTATTTATTTGTATTTCTATTTACTATTAAAATAAGTAACACAGAATTTTTATTTTTAATATTGACTCAAATATTAATCGTTTACAAATATTGATTTGTACAATTTAGTTTCTTCTTTAAAAAAAAAAAAATAGTTATTAATAGTAATAAAATATACAATATAAACTGGCCATACTAACTTATTTTAAAATGGTGAGCTATAAAACCTATACAAATAGTTTTAAATAAACTCGTAGACAAATTTGTAAAATTTAATGATTTTTATTTATTTATCTAGTAAAGCCCAAATAAATTGTGATTTTTAATTATTTTCTAGGCTTAGTAAAATGTTCAACATAGAACAGAGACAGAGAAATGTCACATTTTCTTAACTAGTTTACTTGAATTGATGCTTATAAAATCAAAATGTATAGGAATATGTGTTCAAAATCTTCTACAGGAATTGGATGATGGCAGATTAGAGCCAGAACATTTTTATTATAATATAGAAAAACTATTGAATTCTTTACCACAATCAAATCCTATGACATTCCTTAAAGTATACACATTCTCATTATTTTGAATATAACTGTTTAATATAATGTTTTAATATTTGAATTTATACAGAAAAGTGTACCACTCATGAGGCAATCACTTATGTTAGAAGAATTGCAATTGATGCCATTCAGCTACCAAATATTGTGAAAAAAAAACAACTAGTGGGACAATAAAAGTCTATATTTCTAGTATGTCTTGAATATTTTTAAGACCATTAAAATTAACACATTATAATTATTGTCATTGGTTTATCAGATTAGGGTTTTTTTAATTACATTTTTAGTGTTGTTTGATTGTAATGCCATTATTTTTGCTTTTTTAAAATGTAAAAGTATTTTGTATTAAATNTAATTTTTTTTATTAAATGACAATAAAAACATATATTTACATTTACCATCCATTTATAAAGTTGTATGAAATATCAAAACAATTTGTCTAATAAATTCAATAAAATTCTGAACAATAACACAAATAATGTAAAAATCAATTTTTAGATTAATAATTATTTAATCAATCAAATAAACAGTAGAACTAAAAACTACACAAAAAATCCTTTAAAAATGCTGGTGTATATAAACTTAAATGTACCTGTAATAAATTGTATATAGGTAAGACAAATAGAAATTTCAAAATAAACTATAAAGAACACATTTCTGAAATAAAATTTAAAAAGACTACCCCTAATTCAAATTTTGGTAAACATGATTTCGAAAAAGACCATAATATAAGTTTTGATATTAATACAAACTTAGAAATAATTAATAGCCAATATAACATTTACATTAATTTAGTTTAAGAAGAATTACACATACACAATCAAATAAAATAAATAATTTTAATAATATTGTGAGTGTTCAAACCTATTTGAAAAATAATATCTTTTATCAATATATTTTAGATATATAACTTTGTTATGTTTTAAGTTGGGATGGTTGAATATATAATGGAATTTAATGTATATCTGTATAAGCAATAATAAACCATTGGTAAAGACAAATCGATTCTAAGCGAAGTTCAGTTATCTTATATATGTAAACATTTTTCAAATTTGAATAATGTTGAGTGTACTTTTTAGTTAGTTTTATATTTCTATAAATTATTCTTATTATTTTAAAGCCTATGTCAGGTTGTTTATTGAATGATAAAAAATGTATAAAAACAATTGTTTGTATGTAATTTAAATTTAACAGTTATTTTTTTCTGTTTGCTTATTTGTATATATCGTAACTTTATGTTATTTGTATTTCTAATATTTTTCTCAAATGCTGCTTTACGTTTATTTTGGTAAAATAATAACAAGTTTCTCTTTAACTATCTATGTCAACTTAGTCTCCACTGTCATATCCCTATCATTGCAGAACGTCCAATAGGTACTTACTTAGGTCTCTCAAACCAAAAGCTACTTGTTTCTAAAATACCAAAAATAATTCATACAATTTTTACACTCCAAGATATTGCTATACTATAATTATTTAATCTATCTTTCTTACTCTAAAATATCTATAACTTATAATTAAATATCTAAATCATAGGTACAGTTATGTATTTAACTTATGTATTACAAAGTATTAGGTTTGAAATTAAAAAGTATTTAACGGAAAATATAATTTCTCTATTATTTAATTTTCATTAAGTTTGTTTTATACACATTTCAGAATGGTGAGATTAGCAAATGTATATTTAGAAGAGAGGCAATAATTTGAATGAAAACTAGTACTTCGGACTAATAATATTTAAAATGATTAAATTAACTACATTAATTTGTATTATTTATTTATAATAATATTATAAACATATATATAAATATATATATTAGGGTGGTCTTTATTTTTGAACATATCCCCTTTATTTTTTCCATACTTTGTAAAAGTAATCTGTGTGAAATTTGGTCATGATAACTCATCACTTTCCGTGTCCCAAGAAGGCTGAAAATGAGGAAACGGGGAAAGTTTTTTGGTTTTTCACAAATAATTCAATAACTATATCATTGATCATAAAATGATATGACTTTTTGGTAACTCTTATTAATTTCTATATAATTTATTATTATACAATTTACTGCAAAATCTGATTTACCCAAGGAGAATTATAAAATATAACATATTTCACTTATTTATCAATATTGATTTTTTTAAGGTTTTTTAATTGTATTTGTCAAATAGCTGAAGATATATATGAACCAATAGTTAACATAAAAATGATATAGAATTTAATTTTGTTAAAAAAAAAGTTACTAATAAAAATGGAATTAGAACTACTGATTTAATGTTACAATAGGATTTATGTTAATATTATATACTATCACTTTTATATTATCTTATTGGAAAAAAAAATGAATTTGATGTTTTTAGATTCTGAATTTAATGAAGATTGTATTGGTTTTATTACGATGTTTATTTTTTTTTTCTTATACTGTACACAAATTCTACCAGAAATCTTGCTCAGATATTTACATGCGGCACAATTTCTGAAAGGGAATGCTGTCCAGATGGTACTTTTGGGAGGTTATTCACAAAAATAATGCTATTATTATTCTTCAATTTTGTTATTTGTTGTAAATCAGTTAAAAATATTAACATTAAACTTATATTTGCTTTTTCTAGTCGTGGTAAAATTTTCGAAAATTTGGGCCATTTTTAAGCTTTTTATAAAAATTTTAATATTTTTGTTGAATTTTAGTTAAAAATATTTGTATCAACTCAATAAACTTAAAATTTGAAAAGAAAATTTATATTTGTTTTTTCAAGACATGGTAAAATTTTCAAAATTTTTTAACTAGTTTTGAGCTATTTATAGACATTTTAATTTTGCGGGTTTTGTGTGTAATTTCTATTTGGTAGGTACTTTTTGGTAAAATAGTTAGACATACCAGAAATGATTGAAATATGAACAAGAAGTTTATTAAGAGTCTTAATTTGTGGTCAAAAAAGGGAAATTTGAGTTTAATGCAGTATTTTTTTTTTTATAAAGGAATTTTAATATCAAATTTTGACAAAAATCGTTAAGTAAAAATGATGTGGAACAAATGTTTATTATCAATTTAAGAACGATGGTGAAGTCAGAATGGAGTGGACTGACTAATTTTCGATATTATAGCTTTTTGAAGTTCTGATATTATGCGGATATTATATATTTTATATATTATATATTTAGTTGAATAACTCTATATTGTCTATTTTAAAGAATGTTTGAAGTAATCTAATGATTATTCTTACCTTTTATCATCCTAGAATTCGTGAGTTTGAATCTTTGGTTCGAAAAAAAATTGTTTGAATTTTTTTTCCCTTTTTACCTAAACAAGGAAAAAACAAATGCATTTTGGGTTTGCCTAGAGACTTATGCTATCGCACGCTCGGACTATATTAAGGAACCTGCACGTAGCTATCAATTAAGGAGTAAAATTTAGGCAATTTCAATTCACGTCGACGGTGCCCGGGATATTTGCGTCGTAGACAATTATTAGTGTGAGTAAGCTTCTATGCGTGTACCGCCACAGCGACTACACCACCTTCCCCGACATTATAAACAGGTTTACTGTTTATTTTTGCACAAAATGTATTAAAATTCACTGCCACCTTTCTCGTCGTAGATCTATCGTTATCGCAAATTTATTCATAGCGAGATTATAATATAATATTATTATAGTTATCCGTTCATCCTTTGAACAAGATGACGACTTTTGGATTGCTAAAATGAGTATTTAGTTGATACATTTTATAAAAATATACTAACTGAAATAGTGCAATCCAAAATAATAACATAAAATGTACCAATTAATTAAAATATAAATTATTTTACCTGTTTTCACTCATTATTTATTTATATTTTTGGTAGGTACGACTATTTCGTTTTTTTAGATTCGGAACGTAGTAAAGAATCTATTGGGTTTATTATGATGTGTGTACCAATATTTTTTTTTTATTTTTTGTGTCTGTGAAAATCCATCTACCAGAAAAATTTTCTCCGAAGTATAAACTATTGCACCTTTTCTGAAAGTTAATATTCTCTCATTGGTGCAGTGGGGAGGTCATTTTTAATTTTTCAAGCGTATCGTACACGGGAGATGACATTTCTAAAAAAAAAAAAATGTTTAATTTTTTTCGAAGTATTCTAATGAACAGTCTCCAAACTTATTTAAAAGATTCGGGATAAATACGAAATGTATGGAAATGGATCCAACTGAATGAAAGAATAATATCTTTTAAGTTTTTATTAATAACCTTTCTTTAGGAAATTAAATTCTATATCACTTGTATATTAAACATTGTTTCATATCTTCAGTCATCAGGGTGATTTATCATGGCCAAATTTCACACAGATTACTTTTACATAATAAGGAACAAAATAAGGGGATCAAAAAAAAAGGATCACCCTAATATACATAAATATACATTATATTTTATATAGTATATATAAAATTAAATTAATTATTATATATAATATTAGGCGGCAAGGTGTTTTTTGGTAGATTCTACTATGAATTTTTCCACTGAGAATTGACTTCCATAAAAAAATCTAAAGCTATTAATTACCTAATAGGTAGTAATTAAAAAAATAAATGTACACATCGGTGTATTTTTAAGAAATCTTTGGTGGACAACAAAAAAATTGTTTAGAATAAATAAATATAATTACTATATTAAAACGATCATCAAAAAAAAAAATAATTAAAGAAAAAGGTTATCGTCCTTTTTTTACGGTTTTGCTCAATTGTTAAAAAAAAACTACACGAAAAATTAAAAAAACGACTTCCTTACTCACCAAAGATATTAAAAATGTCATCAGAAATAAATATATAATTAAATAAATAGAAATAAGTTTAACAGTTTGAATTGTATGGTGTTTTCAGTTTTATCTGATTTTTATGAAAATTATTTGGAATACTAAAAAACTACTTTTCTTCTGAGCAACGAAATACAACGTACAACCAAAAAGTTATATTATTTATCGATGAAGTAAGATTTATAGTAGAAAACATAAATTACAAAAAAAACGTCTTAGGATAATGGGGATGGGAAAAGCCACTGTTGTAGGTGGGAATTGGGAAGGTAGTACACAGAAGGTAATTTAATGTATATATGTAAGCAAC